TATCTATCAAACGTCGTTGTTGGCTATACCTACCTTGCCTATATTAGGCTCCTTTGTAAAAGGAATCATATATTTGTTGAGATAGATCAATCTGTCTAGACGGCATATAGTAGGTAGGCATAGTGGTATAAGAATGTAGCAAAGGATAATAAGCCACTTTATGATAGTTTGAAGCTATGCTAATCACTTGTCTACCACCCTTTATATTGATTACTTTAGTTTTTAAAGCTTTGATTTCCTAACGTTGGATTTTTAATGCAGCCATTATGTTGGCTAATTCGAAGGTTGTAATAGTTCCTATAGGCGGTAGTGTTTGTACTCACAATTAAGCCTTAGCAAAGTGTGGAACTCGCGGCTGTAGATGATCACTATACCGTTTACTCAAAGGGGCTTTTGGAGTGTCAATTGCGGCGGGAGGGTAATCAGAAGGAGTGGTAGCTGTATGGGACTGTAGGTATGGTAAGATATACCTTCCTAAAGCAGCTACCATCTTTTTAATATCATTTTTTAGGATTTTCCAAAGTATTTGACAAATCTAATTATATGATATATTTTATACTTTATTAAGGAAGATATTCAGTCTATTCTGAATTCTCGACTGATAGTTAAAAGGAAGAATTATAAAGAATTAGTATATATATTGTTTATCTATTTTTGGGACATTATTGTAGGTAAGCAGATTTTCGAATTTAAAGATACTATTGCTTAGGCTGTTTAGATCATTAGGTAAGGGCTTTTGGAGAAAGGTGATTAGGTCTATAGTATAATTATATATTACTTCCTTATCGAAGGCTTGGAAACGTCCGTATAGTTCCTCTTTCATATAAGTGAGGTGATTCTTAGCCTCCTTCTTTATAGCCAATTTGGCGATCTATTCTATAATCAATTTCGCTTCCTTAGTATAGTATAAGTGTATCTGTCGGACCTGTCGGTCTTTAGGAGGCTTATAGTCTTTGACTATATCTTCTTAGTGGTAAAGGAATTTGATAACATTCTGACTATTAAACTAAGGAGCTTTTATAGCATTAGGCTTAGATATTTGGCGGAATTTCAAACTATACTTTCCCTTAGTATCATGATCAAACCTATCGTTATCTTAGAGACCTATGGTAGGATCTAGTGCTGATGATATATCATTTAGAAGGTCCGACAGTTAGAAGCCTTTAAGTGGTGTTAGCACCATCAGTATAGATGACGATATAAAAGGCTTAGGATTTAATCTAGATTGATTCTGTCAGTGCCTTATGAAGGCAATCGACAAAGAGCTTTGATGATCAGGCAAACAAGACTGATTTCTATTCGGTTTGTTGAATAAAGCTTATAAATTTAAAGATATATCGTCAGATTTAGACTATCTTCTTTTCTTTAATGATAATATATTATATATATATGTTTTGTCACTTATTGTTGGGAATCGGTTTAATCTTTAGCTTTTCTAGTATTCTCAATACTGATTAAGAGTGTTATCGATTCCTATCCTACTCTTTCTTCTCTAATCAGTAGAATTCTTCTTATCTTTTTGTTAGGTAGGATGCTTATTAAAAGCTAGCGTTGGTGCTATCTTCAACAAAATATTCCTTAAATCATTTTTACTTACGCTAGTAGGTCTAGGCCCTACTAGTCGTTAAGGTGTATAATAGTGGCTATAGCTTATTCATTTGTATAGTGAAGCTTTATCTACCAAAGTAGTAGGATATTATAGTGGTTTTGCTTAGTGTTTTAGTATACTGTCTTAGCATCACCTTAGGTCTAATAAGGTCTTCAAAGTCTTTAGAGTCTAACAAAATCTTTCAAAGTCTATTAAGGTCTAGGTCATAGTCATCGTAATCGTTATTTCTTGTTTTGTTATAGTTAGCCTTATGATCAGACCCTAAAGCACTAATGGTGAAGATAATAGCTGCTATTACTGTTCGATTACTGTCGATAACTAGCAAGGAATATTGTTTGTTTTTTAAGAAGCGGTAACAAAATAGGTTTACTTACTTCTCACTTAGATATCCTTAGGTAATTCCCTAGTAAGAGTAGCCAATCGCTTTATTCTATGATTAATAGAAGCCAGCGGTTAAAGTAGTCTTAAGACAATCTTTGTTAGGATTTCTATAGTCTTTTCCTTATATAAATCGTTAAGGCTTAGCCTCAATATTTTCTTCTATATTGGCAAATACTATTAGATTATCTAGTATATTCAATTCGTCAGTAAAGCTTCTTTTTTAAGGTCTTAATAGATTGGAATTAGCGGTTCTAAAGCTTTAGGTGGCAGTCTTATTAGGATTCTGTAACCCTCTGCTTGATATCCTCTTAAGCAGAATTGTATATATAAGGGTCAGAATCAGAGGACTATATATATAGGCTATTTTGGTTTTCTAGGTTTTAGACTATTCTTATCGGTGAGAATAAAGCCTGATCAGTCCCTAAAAGGTGTCAATTCTTAAGAAATCTTATCATAGTTAAGTCGATAAAGTGAAGTGATAGTATATATAGGTTGTGAAGGTATATCTAGCTATCTTCCAGCCATCTTTCCGAAAAATATAGATATTTATTAAAATCAAAGTTCTAGTAACTAATCAAGGTTTAATCAGTCTCTAGATTGTTTTAAAAGTTTAATCTTTTATTATAGTTTATCTTAATGATAGTTATATTTTCGGCTTGATAAAGGTATATTTTCGAGTTTTTCGACTATATTCTAAAGTTGACTCTAAATGTTAGACTCTTTTATTCCTTAAGTCTTCTAAGTAATTCAACTTTGATTAATAGTCAATTGTCTTTGTTTTGTTTATTTTCCTTTTTGGTTGATCTTTGGAAGGTTATGATTCTATATATATAGACATTGTGTTCAGAGTGTTTATATGGTCGCTAGGCGTAGGTTACCATCCTTCCAAATATGTAGAATCGTTATTCCTATCGATTATTAGGTCTTAACGTCGTTGGCTACATCTTTGGAGATTATCGTTCGTAAGGTATCGACGGACACCTATAGTAATACTGCTCGCACTATGGTCGCCAATGAAACAGGGC